ACTATACATCAGTAGATACAGTATAGTATGTACTAGAGAGGGTGGAGGGGACTATACATCAGTGGTACAGTATAGTATGTACTAGAGAGGGTGGAGGGGACTATACATCAGTAGATACAGTATAGTATGTACTAGAGAGGGTGGAAGGGACTATACATCAGTCAATACAGTATAGTATGGGCAAGGGAGGGGACTATACATCAATCGATACAGTATAGTATGGGCAAGGGAGGGTGGAGGGACTATACATCATTCAATACAGTATAGTATGGGCAAGGGAGGGTGGAGGGGACTATACATCAATAGATACAGTATAGTATGGGCAAGGGAGGGTGGAGGGACTATACATCAATCGATACAGTATAGTATGGGCAAGGGAGGGTGGAGGGACTATACATCAATCGATACGGTATAGTATGGGCAAGGGAGGGTGGAGGGGACTATACATCAATCGATACAGTATAGTATGGGCAAGGGAGGGTGGAGGGACTATACATCAATCGATACGGTATAGTATGGGCAAGGGAGGGTGGAGGGGACTATACATCAATCGATACAGTATAGTATGGGCAAGGGAGGGTGGAGGGACTATACATCAATCGATACAGTATAGTATGGGCAAGGGAGGGTGGAGGGACTATACATCAATCGATACAGTATAGTATGGGCAAGGGAGGGTGGAGGGACTATACTTCAATCTATACAGTATAGTATGGGCAAGGGAGGGTGGAGGGGACTATACATCAATCGATACAGTATAGTATGGGCAAGGGAGGGTGGAGGGGACTATACATCAATCGATACAGTATAGTATGGGCAAGGGAGGGTGGAGGGGACTTTACATCAATCGATACAGTATAGTATGGGCAAGGGAGGGTGGAGGGGACTATACATCAATCTATACAGTATAGTATGGGCAAGGGAGGGTGGAGGGGACTATACATCAATCGATACAGTATAGTATGTACGATACAGTATAGTATGTACGATACAGTATAGTATGGGCTAGGGAAGGTGTAGGGGCTATATATCAATCTATACAGTATGCACATTGTGTATGTATTTTAGGTGAAACTGCTGGTATAATAGCTTTACACCCAATCATAGTATACTTGGAGGATGATCGAGGGAGGAGGCTGCGAATGGCATAGTGTCTACATCAATCAGATTCAATACTTAAATGTACATAAAGTACATGAAGGGGAGATAATCAATATCAATCAATACCTTGTGTTACCGGATGAACATTGGGCGGGGGTTGCAGGGGTGGGGGGTGGTGGGGGTGGGGGTTATCGGACGGTGTGCATGTACAGTACTAGTGCATCAATTAATAAAGTAAGGTATATACACGGACGGGAAAAGGTCAGTATTACCATTTGTGATAGAATAATGGGCTGACAAGCAGTTATAGACTATAACTGGACAAATTTCTTTGTCAAATATGAAATAAGACACAGGCAATAAAGGGATTGGTGAGCTTATAACATTCGGTTAAAATTAGCATCAGTCTACCAGGTGAAGAATTCATGGGTGGGTCATTTTTTGTTACCAGAATATGACCTGAATTTATAACATATACAGACTTTTTTTAGAGAGAGAACATGATAGTACCTTTGTTACAAATATATCTGACTGGTTTTATTATGAGACATGATGTTGGCAAAAACCCATCATACATGTATAACTGGATTTTATCCTGTTTAATGGTTGGGCTTACATGTATACATTTTGATTTCACAGGTAATAATTAATCCATTAATCGGGGCTGAAGGATAGCCACTATCGAACAACATGAAAAAAAATTGTACTTGTTTAGGTATCAAACAATGATTTATGTATGTTTTAGGTATCGACCAATAAATGTCGATGAAGAATTATTGTTTCAAGATATGGAGGGAATATTTTCGAAATCAATAAAAAAATAAATAAATAAATGTTCTAGATATCAGACCATACCAGAATGTGTTTTGGTCATGATACTATCACAGATTTTTATCTCAAATCCAAACAAAACAAATGATACCTGTTGTACCTGTTGTTCAATCAACCAACCCATTTACATACATGAAATATAATAACATATAATAAGCAAAGGCATCACATGGTATTTGTATTCAAATACATGTACTTGTTATGGATATCAAACGAAAACCGATACTTGTTGTGGCATTGATCAAACAATGACCCAAATAATACTTGGATTAAAAATGATTGTAGATTAAAAAGTTCGTACAATCGATGATCATTTCCGAGGTACCAACGGAAATGGAAATACGTGGGATCATGCTGATGATGCTGCGACTCGCGTAAAAGGAAATCAAAGTACTGAAAGTACTGCTTTACAGTTTAGGCAGAGGCATTGCGGAGAGTTGGGATGATGGTATGGAGATGGTTGATGTTTTTGATGAGAATCTTTTCAGAGTCTCTAGACTGTTTCATAAAGATCCTCCCATCACTGGTCCAGTAAGAGTCGATGGTTTTAGCCCATTTAGCTCGACCTAGATCCTTTACTGTTGCTTGTCTGGATTTGGTCAAATCTTCGGTGATGAAGAGCTTAGAGGGGTTATTTTTTAATAGTTTTTTGTTTTTGTACACAGAATTTTTCAGATTCCAACTATTGAATCGGCAAATAATTTGGTGATTTCCATCTGGGTTGGGTCTTCCAATGACATGAGACCTCTGGATATCTTCAGGTCGGAGATTAACATTTAGTTTGGATTTACAAATGTCAATAATAACTGGGTCAGTGAAGGACTGTTGATTTCCGGTTAACCGGACATTGTGAAAACGAAGGCTATTCCTCCTGCCGTATTGTTCGAGTTCCTCAACTTGAGATGTGAGGGAATCAACCTTGTTCTCAAGAGTCGAACACTTGGTGGAGAGGGAAACATTAGACTGTTTAAGTTCACTGATTTCAGCGGCCTGGTCATGTATTGTCTGTTGAAGTGGTAAGATCATGTCCGCCATTGTATCACGAACAATTGATTGGAATGTTTCCCGGAGATGAGGTATGCACGCCTCTGCCCATGCAGGTGCTATGCCGGAAACAAATGAAGGACTAGATAAGGTTGACTGTATCAGTCTAGTAAGGTCAATTGTCTTGCCTTTACCTACGTCAAGCTGGAGAGAAGGGCCCTCCTCTCCACCCGAGAAGGAATTTCTCCTTCTGTGGGCTGGGCGATCGGACATTCCGGGGGACACAGTGTCCGGAGATTTCCGCTTGCTAGAACCTGCCGGGGTACTGGGCTCAGACATAGTGAAGATAATGAATTTGAATGTTCAAAGAGAAACTTTTCTCGTAGTCTATAAAATTGTAAGTGGCAAACATGTAGTGACACGAAAACAAGACGGCCGAACGGTCGAACAAAGAACAGTAACTGGTCGGTTACAACAGACGTGAATTCTCTTTATGTGAGTGTACACAGGGCACAAATTTTCATATTAACGGCACTTCAGCATAATGGCAAAATGTCAGACTTGTACCCACCGTAAATGACACGCACAGGTATATAAAAACAGCATTTCTTGGTAGAGTCGTTCAAAAGTGAACAGTGCAGATCGCCATCTTATGACGTCACCCCTGTCACAGACAGACAGACGGCCAGCCGGACGTACAGACGTATGTCCGTACAGACGGACGGACAGGGTGATTACTATAGGGCACCCACATCTCAATGTGGGGCCGTAATTACTGCTCCCTGACAGTGCTTTCTGATCATGACCTCCGTAACGGCATTCCCTGACCTTCGTAACGTATGTTTTTCAAACAATTCATCGCAATATCTTTCACGTGGGAATTTTAATTGGACAATTATATCAATACTTCATTAAATAACACTTGTGTAGAACTACAGTTACCAAATTATAACATCGGTGATAAAGGTTTCATTAAACTTCAAAAATAAAAAATTGCAAACCAACCTCAGTATCGCATTTTGATAACATAAATGTGTAATGGGTATCAAATGCTTTTACATTTTACATAGAATATTTGTTTCCGTCCCTGAAAATATACATATAATAGCTATTAGAGGTATCGGTAAATTATGAAAGGAAGACTAAGTACATTAGGACATTTTTCTCTGACCTCCGTAACAACAAAAGACCAGTTTTTGGGGTGCATTTTATTTCCCCGACACCGGAGAATTGTGCAGTTTCATTATCCCACTTAAAAAAGTGTTGTTAAATAATAATTTAGAAGGGCTGTTATTAACAAAAAGCAGTTATATGTTCCTCGGTACACTTGATGAGTTATTTTTGATTGAAAAAATACATACCTTTCCATTTTATCTTGTGTATTCGCTCATCGGACCATGTGTTTTCAGCATTCCCGCTTCTATACTTCACCGGTGTTTCATTAAAATTATTATACCCGGAATACATGCCCGGCGGAACCCCGATACGGCTTCAACAAATTTCTGTTACGGATGTCAGACGTTACGGAAGTCAGATTTCAGCATTGTTATTTCCATTTCACAGATCATAACAAATAATATCAGGCCAGTTTCGTGTTTTTTTTTTAAACTTTACTTAACTTTAACTCAAATATATGCAAAACTTTTGCTCCCTGTAGTTTTATATTCAATTTAAAGCCGTTACCGATGTCAGGCCCTTAAATGCGACATTGCAATGTGTTGTATATATTGATCAGCAGAACGTGTTTGACTAACCTTGTTTTAAAATAAACGCAATGGCTATCTTAGGCTAAGTGATGTATAACGAGTGATTTTAGTGAAGTTATTTAGCAACAAATCCAGAAAATATAGAAACACCGGTTATAGTTTTAGGCGTTACGGATGTCAGACCGTCTAAGGCGACAATGTTGCATTAGGTTTTAAAAACAGTAGCGTAGAGAGGGCTTGTAAAAAAGTATTTTGTTGTCATGTAACGTATTTTTAGCAACCGAAACAGTACTTGATTTATGCATACCTCGCCACAACATTGTGAGCTTCAACTGTCAATATCAAAGACAACTAAAGCGACATTGCAAAATCGTTTATTACTGTCTATTTACTATAATATAATACCATCCGCTTCTGAAAAATATAAGTGTTAGTTGTGAACAAGGTAATTATTTTTGTCAGACAAAACCTAGAACAAATTGTAGGAACAGGAAAGTTGTTGCAAAATATTTATTTTGTCGAAACAGACACTGCGACACAAGGTAGTTTCAACCTCTTCTAAGTGGGTCAGTTATTCTGGAATGGCTGGTAACAAGGACATTTCAATAAAAAATGAACCTCATCTTCTGTATCATCTAAATAACAAATGCTACATACTCGTAAATTTCTCGGTACAATTTGATATCGGCCCTTTCTACTTTTAAATTATGGGATGAAAGTCTAATTTTTGTAATTTCTTTCAAATATTTCCTAGTTATTATTTTTTGAAATAGCCTTGTCAATCGGGATCATGGTCATGCTGGGTATAAATGTTTAGCTTCATTTTCGTCCATACATTGAACAGAATGCTACATATAAAAGGCAAAAACTTTCCTCTATTATCTTAGTATGCATTGTCACAGATTCAAAACTTGGAATAAGCACGTGTAACCACTAAGGCGCAAAACTGAAATAGTTTACTGATCGAACATGCTTTTAATATCTTGAAATTATCGATTACTTTTTTCGGAAATTTCGAAATATGCACTGTACAGTTTCTCTTTCTTCGTTAGTATACAAGCCTCGAAATGTTTTGAGCCAGGGTCGTACTAACTACACTAAAGCTGATGACATGTGTACATTGTAGACCAAATACAATTCACTCTCTAATTTTCATTGTTTCCTAACACGATTTTGTATTTTCTGAATTTGAAAATTAATCGTGGTATAGCCGATTAGACTTTTTCAGTTCGGGACCGTAACTACTATTGATGAACCTGTTTGAGGAGTGAAAATCAGATCTTTCTCATTCAAATTCGAAGAAAAGAAGTTAAATATTTTATGACAGAAGCACAGAGACCGAAAAATCTTCTAGCCGCAAGCGGTTCAGGACATCCAGGAATGTATTTTGGATTTGTACAAGATTGCTCATACATATGAAATATACCCTTGATGTTATAAAACTATGCTTGTTAAGATTTCTACGAAAATAATAAATAGTCATTCTGTAAGTCATGGATAACTACTTATTCGAGCATAGATCGGTACTGAAGTCCGATATTTCCTCTGTGAAGTAAATAGTTGTTAAGATTCTAATCTAGCAGGAATCATGCAAATGGGATATTTTACCCTTGTGAAAATTATTTTGATAAAGCAGTATTTGTGTTAAAATGATGTCCAATGTCTTAAAAATGTATTAATCACGGATGTATGAAAGTCAGACGGTTCAGAGTTCAAATTTGTTAATTTTGAAAGGTGTGATAGAAAAAGCATTTTAAAAGCAAAACATGAGGCCCAATGGGCCTGCAGCGGTCACCTGGTATATGTATATACTAGCAATTTTTATCCCTATGACCTTGACTTATATTCAATGTAATTTCTTTTGGCAAACTTTGTGCGGCTGCATCGTAGGAATATACCAGTCAAATATATTGCTTCTATGACTTTAAATTCATGAGATAAAAGTCGTTTAAATGTTTTAACAAATTTGACCCCTGTGACCTTGAATATAAATCAAGGTTTATTTGTTTTCATTGATTTGTTGAGATTCATCCTAGGAACATACCAGCCGAATATTATTCCTCTGGGCCTTTTAGTTCACGAGAAGAAGTTGTGTGAATTTTTAAAAACAAATTTGACCCCTTTGACCTTGAAAATAAGTCAAAGTCATATCTATTCACACACTTTGCTGGGCTTCACCCTAGAAATATACCAGCCAAACATCATGCCTCTAGGCCTTTCAGTTCATGAGAAGAAAAATTGTGTAAAGGTACTAACAAATTTAACCTCTGTGACCTTGAATATAGATCAACATCATTCTTTTTGCAAACTTTGTCAGACTTTCTCATAGAGACATACGGAATGATGGACAACCAACACTGCACCACCACATAAGCTCACTTCTTCAGGCCAGGTGAACTAAAAATATTACAATGCTTCACTTAACTCAAGAAATGTAAGAATACCTGTAACAGAAAACAATTTTATTTTTTTTCGTGAATAACAGTATTTCTTCTTTATTTTCAAGTCTTTTTTTTAAGCAATTCTTTTTTTAAGAAAATGTGGTAGAGTAACATTGGGTTAATAGAAAAAACCTGAAAAAGATTATTTTCTATTAGATTCCACTAGCTCAAAACTGCACAGCAACCAAAATATGTAAATTTTTATACAAAAATAAACAAAAAACTTAATTCTAACTTTTAAAAGACTTAATTCTATGACAGAAAAATAATTAGGCATGTTTTCATAATTAAAAATAGAGAGATAAGCAGTTTTTTTCTTTAGTGATGGAGAAAATATTGGCATTGTCTGTGCTGAAAACCTGAAAACTTTCATGTCAATGATGTTGTTGCAAAATGCAGCTCAAAAGGAAGACTATTATAAAATGTTGAAGGATGTATACCAGTAACTCATGTTTCATTGGAAGTGAGGACATAATTCAAGATAAATTAATTCCAACCTAATATCATGGACTTTTGTATTTACTTTGTTACTTGTGACCCTGTTTTTTAACAAATGAAAAATATTTGAGCTAACAAAGTATAAAGTCTTCAGAAAGTCAAATCTTATAATATAATGAAATAAAAGATTTTAAGTCATTTATATTTTTTCATGATTTGGTTGCCATAGGCAGTTTTAAAAGCTTGTTTTTCCCCCTCTCCATCATCCAAATACCATTATATTACCTCTCGTTAAAATAGATGACATATATTTTTGAAATGGTTGCTTTAAAAATGACAAAGAATGTCTTACTCAAGAAATAACACAGAATTATATGTGAAAATGAATTACACCCTGCTACATTGAAAGAGCAAAACTAAGAGGAATCCACATATGAAATCTGAGAATAATCGATTGAGTCTCAAAAAATATTGGTAATAAAACTACCAAATCACCAGTCAAAGATTAAATCATGTTCAACATTTAAAGCGTTATGAAATCTGTCTTATGATATAATAGTAGATTGATCAACAAATAAACAGATTTTAATTGCACTTTTGTACCATAAACATACTACACTGAAGACATCCAATCCAGGACAAAAACATCACATACCTTTTGTAAATACATATTTCACTGAAATAAATGGGTCCAATTTTCTCATCTATTGCATGTCAATTGAGATCATAGTATCAAACGCTGACTAAACTTAACTCTGAAAACCTTTTGCTGAACAATGAATATCATTCATTTTGGCACAGATAGTAGTGCACTGGGCATCTTTCATATTTGTAAATGTGAAAGGATTTCCAATTTCCTGAACAAACCCCTTGGTCAGGCTGCTGGTGTAAAACTAGTACTTTTTCGTGGCAAAGTCAGACCAGTTAAACCCCAGTGAGCTTGATCAAAGACAATCATGTCCAAAACCCCTGACTATCTTAGTCTTCCAATTTCATCACACCCTTCATTTGTACATAAATTAAACAGGTATTCATAACTGGAGGTTTTGTTTAAAAATAAAGTCTATTTGTTTTCCTTTATATGGCAGTTACTCAAAGTATGTATTGAAGGAGGATTCAGAACAAAAAAGATTGAATATGATTAACAAAACCAATAATCTCCAGTTTGTAAAAGACTTTCAAATTAGAGATTTCCATTTTTCAGGTTTCAACGCCTTTTCATTTATGTCAGGTAATCTGACATTTGTGCAAATTTGTTATCAATGGTCATGTGATCAAATGATTTCACATACAAATAAGTACTGATTGGAAACAACTAAATCTCTCCTCCATTCTTTGTCAGGAAAATCCCATCTTATTGTCAAGAAAAGCACCAAACTTGAAAGGATCCCCTTTGGTTAAGGGTTTTAGGTTGTCTATATCAATTTCCTGTAGGGTCTGTAGCAGAGACCTGAAAGAAATGATAATACCGCCATATTACCTCCCTTGCCTAACTGACATACAATTGTAACAGCATAACATCAATTGCCTACATGTGTCTGTATCACATATCTATAAAGTGTTGCTGAATACCAAAGGCCAAAACATCCAATCTCCAACTTCCAGGGGAGACAAGGTTACAATTATTAACACAGTGTCATCATATATCTTTAAAACATGCTACCTGAATCCGATGAAATTAATCAATGTCATTTAAATACTAACAAACCAGAAATTTTTAAATTCTTTTTAACTGGCAAGTAATTATTTTAAAACAATTTTCTTGTCAATAACTTTATAAGTTAGGTCCTAGGATAATTAAAAAACCAGAAGTTAAAACCATTTCAATCTTAATTTTGAGGAAGTGGGTTGCTGTAAATAGATGATGTGAAGAATTTGTTGTTCCAGTAAAACGATTGTAATGTCAAAGCTAATTCTTGTCTCTTAAAAATCTGTGATCGTGTATATTAAACCTGTTAACTAAAATATAAATAAATCTGAAAGAAAACCCAAATAAATAAATCTAACTCAATCTTTTCATCACCACTGGAGAGATAACTTCCCTTTAGAAGAGTCTTCTGAAGGTTGTAAGATAACATACCCACAATCACAATAATATATATGGCCATCTTGGTACAGCTGTTTAGCAAGTTCTAGTTGGTGGTTTCCCATCAGGTCCCTATTGATCACCACAAGTAATGGCTTGCCTGCTCCCAATGTCTCCAGACAGCTACCAGCTCCTAAAACAAAAGATTGCCCATCCATTAACAGTGATTTCACTCTGAATATAAACATTTATTCTGATATGAATATATGTTATTTCTTCCAAACCTTTTTCACTTTCATCATCCATCATGTATTGATCACAGTCATCTTAAATTCCTCGCTCGTTTATGGAAATCAACACACTGTGCTGTTACTGTTAATACAGACCTCACCATAGAGGCACCGTTAGAGAAATTCTTTTATTCTGTACCATAGTTATTGTTTTGTATGGGAAGCATACTTCAAGTTCAGGACCAGGGCTCTCGATCTGCCAGATTTGGGGCCGAATTCCCAACGCAAAATAGTATCTTTTTTTCCCAATTTAGACCCCAAGTTTTCCCAATTCTAAGGGCTCCGGGCCCCAGTCCCAAAATAGGGTGTGGGAGCCCTGAGGACTTTATAACCCATGACTTGGCACCACTTAAAGTTGATGCATGGTCCTGATTTTGACATGGTGGCAAATTTGAACTAATTCATTAGATATCCAGCTCAATCACTTAATGTAGATATCATTGATATTCAACTTATTTCATTCTGTGTTGTTTTTTTCTCAAATCTATCATTTATGACTGAAGACTCTAAATATAACTTTGTGAAGGGAGGTAATCCAATATGGCGAGACTCGAGAACGATAACCCCTAGGATGTCATGTTCCTGCGTAAAGTACAAACACCCTTTTTGACACGACAGTTTTTGCTCAAAAAAGTGTTCACTACATGCGCAAATTTACGGTACTTATTAAGATCTTGAGAAGTTATTTGAAGATGTTATGTACTCATATGTCCATGAATAAATATCAGTTACTGCCACATCATCATAAGCCCACCAACATAACAACCTTTATAACACTGGACTTTTTATATGCAATCATTTTTCCCCCCAACATACCAATATTTTATACCTGTAGTTGTTAACAAATACCTCCCAATTGACCATATCACAGATACCAACATGAGCCATCTACAGTTTAATCAAAATGACTGGTCATTTTGCTCTTTCATTCTTACTGATTAATATGGAAAGTCAATAACCGCAAAGAATAATTAAGAAGATCCATTAGGCTGAAACTCTGAATGAAAACTGACAGTTAACAGTTACAGATACCTAATTGGAGTATTCTAGATAATGTATCCGTGTTGTTAACTAGGTTCTATATGATGTAAAAAGAGTTGAAGAACTGGAGGTTTGGGATGACATATTTTACCAGCATGGCTGATGACGAGGTCAGCAGAAGAGATGTCCTCTCGTATGCTTGATTTATATCTGAAGTGTTGCACTGTTACATCACCAACTTGTCCACTTAGTGGTGCGACCTTTCCTCTTCCTGTCTGTAAAGTTACCCTAGTGAATCCTTTCTCCTCTAATACCTAGAAATAAATTGATAAAGCCTGTAGTGTTATGTTGGTGAGTTAATCCTTTCTCTTGTAAATATATATCCTGATATTAACATTATACATGATTTTACAGTCTTTTTAAATACATTATGAAATAAAATTTATGGATTTGAAGTAAATATAACGAAGCTACTGTATACAAAATGCATACTAAAGTAAGTGTATGAAGGTTCCGTGTCTCTTTCAGCATGTTGAACTTTTACATCTGACTGATGTGGTTCAATAACCCTTGACATACTTTGCATGTACTTCATTAAGGTGGAGTGTTCCACAGCTCATTGTTGCACCTCATGATAAAAAGCTTTCTTATCATTCGCCCTGTTCTGCATTAGAATAATTAAGAGATAGTAGTTTCAAAGACACTTATTGGCTTTTCACAAGAACTTAAGTTTTCTAATTTGACATGCATGACAGCATCTTCTGTCAATATGAGGACCTGAGTGCCTGTTTTGTGTTGAATCCTCTTTTTTTTTTAATGAAATGTGGGGTTTTGCAGTTTGTTGTAATAGTTAACAAATATGCTTCCTTCAAAAATATTTTTCTTACAGTTTATCTAATAGATTTACTATCTTTATTTGTATATATCTTGAAATAAATATTCTCAGTAATGTAACAGTAGTGTTGCTTGGAACATTTTGATTTACAAATATATCTTAGCGTGTATATATATATAGTTTACAATTAAAATTTGCAAGAAAAAACTTATGTTTCTAGTCATTGATTATAATTTAGTGGAAAGGTGGCGGAACAACCCCGTAGTAATAGAAGCATCCAACAACCAGCTGTAGAGAGAACTCTATTAGGCTTGGTTTCGCAATACCGTCCGATGAGCGTCCTGTCCAGCGATGTTTCCAATATTTTACTTCAAACGCGAGATAAATATAAGTCATGCATGTCTCAAGTTATTTCAAAAGTAAATAAACTTTATCTGATACATGGAACCAGAGACGTACGTCTCTGATGGAACGTCTGATTTCTGCGAGACGAACCCCTTTACCGCTGACTAGTTTCGGTAAAGACTAAAGAGTGAACGATTATTTATTGTTGAAAATTATACAGTACAAAAATAAAGGCAAATTGATATCACCTGAAATGTCTCCAGTTGTGCAAATATATCAATCAATCTGTCGAATTCTGTTGTTCCCACTGTAACAAAGACACTTTCTCGTTTTCTGGTGTGTCTGAGGTTTTCCTCGTCCGCCATAACGGGTGATAACAACATGCAGCCCGACACAGCTCGGAAGACTGACACAGTCCGGCTGCGCCGTCTTGCGATAAACAGGCGATGATCTGGGAAAAAAAAATGAGATTTCAGCGTTTTTTTCACAGTGTTTTTGTGAAGGAACATGGAGGAGTTATACAGACAACTTAAAGTAACTATAAGTCAAACATGTAATGCCGAGGATAAAGATATTATCACACGTACTGTTCTCGTTACAGCAATATGGATTCACATCAGTTCGTTCTATTTCTAACATTTTTCATGTTACTAGAGGTACTAGAACTAATGGACAGGGGCTATATATAGATAAAGGACTGAGAAAAGTCTACAACACACAAAACATTAGTAAACAATTAAATGGATATCAAGGGTTTTTTTTTTTTTTTTTACTATGGAAGCCAAGCAACACGTGAAAAAAATCAAGTGATACACTCGGGACGTATAATATTATTTCAGTAATTCAGTAGTCTGTTTCATTGTTTAGCTATTTTGTATCTAATTCTAAACTTGTGTTAAAAGCATTCCCACCTAGTCAGTGAAAAGGATAAAACAAGAAACACGATTTTAGGATTTTCGAGAATTTGAAGAAGATTTTACTTCTTGAACGCCTTAACGTTTCTTTCGCTGTAGCTATGTTATAATTGGACTATGCAAGTTCCTTTGGACACCTATTAAAATGAAAGATATAGGAAAAATTAGTTTTAATAAGAGCAAACGGAAAAATCCACCTAGGATATACTTATTATATCTCTATTTTTCAAACCTGTGTGTTGCAGTTTGATCCATTATTTGGTTCTAGAATATCTATATGTATTTTTATTTGTTTTATTGAATGGTGTGGTTAACTGGTGTCTTTCGTGCGAAGTTTGATTATATTTCTTTTCACTAATATGTGCACGTAATATTCAGGTTGAACATACGCGCGCGTAACACAGACACTCAAATAACAATGATACACGGAAATGATGTATTTCAAAGTTGATAATTTTCTTAATTAACGTATGGTCACTTTTTAGAAACAAATAAAAAAATGTGTTAAAGTAATAGGAATTCAATCTTTTGTTAAAAAATGCTGTATCCAGAGACATTATATACGTCTCTGCTGTATCTCAATAACATTGGTATTGTGTTTGTTAAGGAACGATAGAGATTGCGTTGAAGACTGAATCTCTCTTTTTATTAGTATTGCTCATCTACTTCCTTTTCCGGTCTGACTGTGGTGAAATAGCTTCGGTTTGAAACATCGAGGTTAAAATCCATTAAAATCCTGCAAAATGAAGGTCTACAAAGATATCATGACAGGTAATATTAAAGTTGGAGAATTTGATCTATAACATATGATAACTGATTCAGTGACACAGACACAAACATTTGGAGTGCGGGTGTATTTTAAAAACAAAACCGTACAATCAGTAATCGACCACAAATTGGGTGTGTTGCTGTGGTAAAACAATATTTTAACCATGTATATAACCAATTACCATTTTTATACAGAAAACCTTGAAAATCTAAACATGTAAACAATTGATTATAAATGAAAGAACAGCTTTATTAACTAATGTTTAGACTAGATCACAGGAATCGAAAGTTCAATATGCGAAGTATAGCAATAATATATAAGTAAAGTATAAAAGTTATATACCACATATAGAACGTTCGATTGCAATGATTTTACTGATTAGGTTATTGTAGGTGACCGATAGAACCGGAAATGAATCGTCCAACCCTCGTTTTCTTTACGTCATGTACATGTATATATGTCACTTGTCAATTTCAAGACTCATCATGACGTCAGTTAAGTATGACCAGTGATAAATCTAAAATTTATTTTCATAATCATTTTCAACTTTATTGCTACAAACAATGGATACCACAATGTAAGATTGAAGCGTTTTCAGAAATTCTATAAGTTTGATCCAAAATATGAGAACAGGACTCTGGACATGCATGTAGATCTATCACTGTATGGTTAGGTCTTATATTCCCCATACATCTTTAAATGTACCTAGAGCAGTAAGACTTACTCCATATGAGTAACTTTTATGGCAACATGTTTCATGTACTGGATGGTCGGGAACCTATTATCATTGAATATATAGGGTTTATAACTTTTGTTTTCTCAAATTCATCATCAGATTTTTGTGGTAGATGTAACTTTTACCGCATGTTGATTGACCCTTTTGTGATGTCACTCTTTCCCAAAGCATGGTAATCAATTTTGTTTTATAAAACACACTGAAACTTGTATTAGGTTTTGAAGTTTACAATTTAATGACTTTTTGGAATGTGTTAACTAATTGAAGCCAAGCGATACGAATGGGGGATTTTATAAACAAAGTAGATCAATATATTAGATAAGGCACAAGAAACGCAATAGTCACTTTGCAGGTATAAACAAGGATATCAATAAATTTTGTGCCACTAAGTAGCCAATGATCATGATTATCAGGAGTTATAGTCTTAATTTAAGAAGAAGAAAAATGCAGTACAGTGTTCTTTTTTGTTTTCTTTTAGTACTTTGTGTCAGATTCTAAATAGAACTTGTGAAAAAGATTGAGGTACTAGTAAAGAAACATTGAAAAAAGCTGGCATGACGTTATGTTATGTTTGTACGTTGTGAAACGAAAATGGGGTGTACTGTTGTAAAATTGAGTGGTGAAAATGAGTGATAATTATTATTATGTTACGATATTGTCGGAAGCATCAAGTTGCACAATAACGTAGAGCTGAACACAGGTAATGCTGAGGTAAGAGTCGTCCAGGGTGTAGATACTCGGGATCCTCTGTATTTAGACTGCAATGTGATGTTCACTACAGTATCGCCCTATGATCAAACAATTTCGAAAACAATATCATGAGATATGTTAATTTTAATGTATTGATGTCAATATTAATAGAAATTGAAAAAAAGGATGATTATCCCATGAGAGCTGAAAAATAAAGGAAAAACAATGGTTTTGAACAACAAATTTGGCAATTATTTTTGATAACTGAATTAATTCCATGCAGATATGAATTACTATGCATTTCAATTATTTTTAACGAGTCCTATATTATGTTTTATGAGGAAATTAACGGAACAAATGCTTTATTTGACTGGGTAGTGACAGTGGTGACATGTGTTTATGGTGGTATATCTACCATTAAAATCATAGTATTTTAATCAGGTTTTGATGCATAAAATCTGAATGCAGGACTGCCACATTGGGTTTTGGTAAACTGATAAGTTATTTGTGGAAAATAGGGCCATTTGAATATGTGATGAAAAAAGTTATTTTTTGGAACATTTTCTTCAGGTTAGTAATGTCGGTAGAATAGAAGTTGTTATAACACAACCAGTAGAAATTTGAGTATAATGTTTCATTGCAAACACTGTTACCATCATTAGCCAGTTTACCATATATGAAACATACTAGTGTGCCATCGATTTAGGTTGATACATCTTAACACGGAGGAGTGCAGTGCACAAGAACCATCGCCCTCTTTTGCATAATATGGGAATTATTGCCCTTTGTTATTTTTCATACTTAAACTTTGTCCCATTCAGAGACTATGACATGTTTCTGACTTCATACTGGTAATTTGTCTGATGGAGGTAGCTACGCAGTCATCACATCATCACACTCAAATCTTCTACTGGTTGTGTTATAATTAAGAACTTCCAATTTATTAGTAATTTTTGTCCAATTTTTCAGATGAGTCTAGAATGTCAATTCTAACATCTTGATGATTCCCAATACTAAGGGTTGTGTTTTTTTAAAAATTTGAGGAGGTCCTACAGAAAGCAGGAGTTATGAACTTGCATATATGAGTCCCAAAAATTGCTGATTTATATTTTTTATATAATATAAATATAAAACGGTGCTCAATACGGGAAGCAGGATGTTATATCACGTAGCAACATCATACATTTGTGTGTCGTTCATCATTTGTTGCAAGGATATGTCATTACTTTATCATTTAAAATCTTGTTTCTTGTTAGGTAATGAAATGATTTCGGATTCCTTCAAGATCACCATGCATGAACCAGTGAGAGGCATGATGACAGTAAAGGGTAAAGTAAGTATATTGAATCATGGATGTCTCGGTGAGCAATTTGTGCAGCGTAAAAATGAAAAGTGGGCATATATTTGGTCATTTGAACATAGGAGAATAAACTTGGTACTTTTTCAAACCCAAGTTTGCTGTGATCATAATGTCGATTGATGAATCTAATTTTGAGTTATGTTTTGTGTGATACTTTTTTGGTAATCTCTGCTAGAACATTTACCATGAGTTAGATTATATATAAAGACCAGCTTCTGTAATGTTAATTAGGATTAGTACTGTAATATCTTAAATCTGATATGTTGTACATTACAATACCCATCTTTTGTTGTGATTGTTTGCGATACAGTGTTGCTGTTAGTAATATTTAATACAAACTTTAAAAGGAACTTTTAAATACAACTTATCAGAACATGATGCCAATGTATAGCGTGATTGAAATATTAATTACCGATAGTAATAACCAAAGATTTTTTTAAAAAGTGAAAAATGTATATTTCTGGGTTTGGTTCCCGGAAATTGTGCCCGGATTGTGAATCCGGATTTCCGGATTAGTAGCTCAAAATAACGTTACAGAAATCTGTTCCCGTCGATTCTCGTCCGGACTGCGAGATTTCCAGACCAACGGAGCACGGATTATCGGGTCTCGACTGTATATGTATTAGGTGGCACGAGGAACAAAATGGCGTAGTCCATTTTTCATTTGGCCATCAATCAGTCATTTGAGTGGTCAGCTGTGGTCAAAAATTGGCCAAATTTTAGATATTGTCTGATTTTTGTGAAAATAGGTATATATGTATTAGGTGGCACTCTAGGAGCATAGTGGTCCCCATTACAATTAGTACTTCTTGCATTTCAATTACACTAGCACAAGAACACACTTATTTCATTATTCAAAAGAGGAAAGGATGGAGGGGTAAGTTTAGGTCTCAAATGATGATTTTATTCACGTTCTCCTAGGAGTTGATGTTAGTGAACTATGAGCGAGTGAAAATGGTGAGCTCACCACTGTGCATTTAAAATGTATTGACCACCTGGCCATGAAATAAAGCAAGAAAACGCCAATTAGCTCAATTGTTCTTTATGAAGAACACAAAACTATTTTGCCTAGAACTAAGAAGCCTTAGGCTGAGTCACAGATGACATGCAAATGTTGAAAGTTACATATTTTTCATTTACGCCCCCCTCCCAAAATATTCAATGATAAATTATCAATTGCAAGGGATTCAAATGGAACCTTTCACACAGACTGCAGACATTTTGCTTCAATACTAGTGTTGTCAGAAATTGACTGCTGCAGTGAGATGCCACATATTGTCACAAGCATAATTTTGTATAATTCAAACAGGTTCAACAAAAACTTGTCATCCCTTTCAGCTGTTTCAAGCTTTGATATATATATAGTTGGAACAGTTTTCAGAAAACAACAAAAAAAAGTGTTTGATTATCAAAATAAGTGTGGAAAGTAAACCAACTTACACATGATTCTCCATACAGGATTGACTTGTAAAATGATTTCCAGTTGGAGGCTTGCTGAGACAATTGATTATTTTTGTAGATGAAAAAGGAAGATGGCGTCCCAGATATTGATATTGGTGCAAATGCTTCCAAGGAAGAAGAAAGCGAACAACTTCAGGAAGCAGAAGGACAATTGGGCGTTGATGTTGTCATTGATTTTAGATTAAAGGAGACTGAAATGACAAAAAAGGACCTCAAGTTGTTGATGAAGGAGAAAATGAAAGGGTATGTATTTTGTTCTTGGTCTATTATAAATCTGATAAATACCTTATTGCATTATGTTGACATAAGAAATATTTTCTTGGAATGGCATGCTTAGAACAATATACACATTGGCTACAAGTGGCATCATGTGTAGATGGTTGATATAGCTTTAGGCAAGTCAGGTTTTTGCAGTTTACTGGACCATTTGACCAGTTTTATGTCCAGGTTGAATTATATCATCATGTTTTTTTATTCTTCATATGTATTCATTGCTGTCATTTGTGATTTTAAAGAACAGAGAAACCATTTCTGGACATCTAGGATTGATAAGAAAAACAAGAAATTGAAAGACCACATAAACCTCATTGTGAGACTTTTTCCCTGGTTTGAAGTCTTTCGTCCACTAATTGTGTCTGTAAGGCAAGTTGTCTGTATTTACAGCTGGCGTGCAGGGCCAGCAGCTAAGGTTTTTAACTGAACTTTTGATAATATTCACAGAGTGTTTTAAGAGTTAACTAACATCTTTTACATATGTTTTTTATGGGTTGTGTCCCTTAGACCTGTGTTATCATTTTTGTATATTTTTAGGTCACCTGAGCCGAAGGCTCATGGTGACCTATTGCCATCATGATTTGTCTGTCGTTGTGCATCGTTAACTTTTCACATATTCAACTTCTTCTCAAGAACTACTGAATGGATTTTGACCAAACTTTTCACATATTCAACTTCTTCTCAAGAACTACTGAATGGATTTTGACCAAACTTGGCACAAAGCATCCCCATGGGAAGTCGCTTCAAGTTTGGGAAGAAAAAGGGTGTGGTCCCAATAGGGGCCCCAGGAGGGGGGAAAAGGGGGTAAAATTAGGTAAATCTTTAAAAATCATCTTCTCATGAACCAACAGTAAGATTAAGTTCATATTTGATATTTAGGGTCCTTATCGCAAGGTCTACAAAATTTGCGAATGAAAAAAAATCAGGTCAAAAGGGGCCCCACTAGGAAGCGATGAAAAGTGTCAAAAATTCAACTTTGACCGATTTCAACCAGAGGGCCTGTTTCCAGTAATGTTAATTCTCCATAGGAGCCTGCCCCCGTATAATTTCTTATCTAGCTCAACTACTGTTTTTTTCTTTTCCGAAAAATAATTTTACACCTTTCCGACACCCAGATTTCCTAATTTCAGTGAAAATGTATTTTTATAAAGTTGTCAATTTCAGCATCAAAGACATAAGTTCGTAAATAAAAGAAGGTTATCTCGAAATTGTAATTGGCAACTTAGTATAAATTTCTTTTGATAAATATTTCCAAAACATCGTGTTTATTCATAAAACATAAAAAAAAAATATACTCGGATGAAAATGCACTTGCAGAGACACAATTATGAAGAAAAATGCCATAAATATGCAATTTTCTCCCGTTATATAGTTTTGGATGCAAATTTCCATCAGAAAATCGGATAGAGCTTTACTTGTTTCATATGTGTACCAAAAATCAGCTAATGCCATGTGGTGGAACGTTCTCATATCGCCGCCTGAATGTGATTGTAAATTGAAAGAAAAGGGGAAATGAGTAACAACCTTGTCTGAAACCCTATTATATAGCTTATATACAAACTTTTAAATTGAATATCAGAGCGGATATTTTCATGACAGTTTTATGATTTGTAACGACTAAATAAATAGTATCGATATAAAGATTTACACTGAGGACACCCTGATACATGAATACTGTTCTATCTCAAGCTGTCCTCTTCTGAATTTTCTGATCGTGTGGCCTTGTACATTTATCCGTATATTCTTGTCTTTGTCTATACGTTTACGAAATCATTCACTCGATGCTAGCTATTCTTGTCTTCATAAACCAATCGTTATTGTTTCAAGATGGAGGGTAAATGTGTTGGAGAAGAGTGTCAAGTATACTTCAAGAAACGTAGTGGCAATAAGAACAGAAGTGCACACAATGTAAATAGTCCACAATATAAATGGCTCCTAGATACACTGGTGCAACAAGGATTGATGTCAGCAAAGGAACAAGCATTTATTTGCCAGAAGTGCTACATGAAGTATCTTCGGAACAAAAATCAGCCTGAACCTGAACTCGAGCAGAACCAGGAAATAGGGGAAGAAGACGACTCCCCATCCCATATCCTGCCGTTGCTGACCCTTCATGATCTTTTGAATGGATCATCTTCACACAAAAAATGCTGTCTCTGTCTTGTTACCTTTCCAAAAAATGGAACAAAATCATCAGTCTTACCAAAACGTGCAAGACATCACCTGATCTATTCACACAAACTGTGGTGTCCCACCTCATCCCGCGTCTGCTCCATTCACCTTATTGGTAACGACTTAGATCCGTCTACAGAGGTTGTCCTTGATGGTAGAGGTTCCTTGGAATCTCAGTTACCATCAAAATCATTCGAAATCATTAATGACCTCTTAGAGGTGTTGCACGTCCTTTCACAGAACCAGTCTGCGTTTACAATAAGGTTTTCTTCTCTTGATGACTCGGCATGCATGGCCTGGACAGGTTGGTCCAAAGATCAGTTCCTCGAAATCCACTCGCACTGTTCCCCATATCGTTCATCTGGTATATATACCAAGACTACACACAATGCTCTATTACTGTTCTGGGTAAAACTGAAAACTGACATTTCCTGGAGTCAGTGCTCTTCTCTTTTTGGAATTTCCAAGTCAAGTGTGTCCAAAACTTTCCACTCCATAGTACAGGCATTAGACACATCGATAGTCCCACAATTTCTAGGTCCGGATCACTTGACAAGAGAACAATTGCTCGGGCACAATACTGTCTTTTCAGAAGCATTTTTTGAAGATAAAGCCACTGCCATATTAGATGGCACCTATATTTATATCCAGAATAGCTCCGACCACAAGCTCCAGAGAATGTCCTACTGTGGCCAGAAGAAGAGAAACTATGTCAAATTCATGAGCATCGCCTTACCAGATGGCTACATTCTGGACTCCGTAGGACCATTCACTGGCAGCGAAAATGATGCTACAATTACAAAAAAGGTCATGGACAAGCTAGTTACTTGGCTACAACCAGACGACAACGTTGTCGTTGACCGAGGTTTTAGAGATGTCCTACCAGTTCTCGGAGCCTCTGGCCTCAATGCTAGCATGCCGTCATACCTGAAACCCGGTCAAAGTCAACATTCTGACGTCCAAGCAAATCTTGACAGAACTATCACCAAATCGAGGTGGATTGTGGAATCCTATCATGGTCGTCTGAAACACTGGACGTTCTTCCGAACGCAATTGGTGTCTAACAGCTTTATCAATGTCATTGAGGCTTTGCTTCGAACCGTCACAGCCTGTCTGAATGGTATTAGAGGACCGATCTACCAGAGATCTCCAGAGAGAGATGCCCAAGATAGGCTAATGGCTGAACATATGAAGGACCGTTTGACAACACTGAATGGTTTAGCTCAGAGAGTCAAGATAGATCCGGATCTATCTAGACGGGCAAGGTCCAAGTTTGTCAAGATGGATGCATCTTCCGTACTGTTTCCCCGTCTCGATCTTGATTACTTGAGAACCATTACGTGTGTAACGTATCAGATATCTCTGGCTCCTGGTTACATTGCCGAACATTTAAGTGATGACGGAGACTATGAGGTGTGGCTTTACCAGCACTCCCCAGACCTTCTCCGATGTCAAATACATTCTCGACACAAAAGCCAAACGAAATATAACGTTTGGATACGGTTCACCGTTTCACCCGATGTTGAGGCCCTAATAAAGGACTACTACTGCCAGTGCCCAGTTGGAGAGAGAACGATGGGAATGTGTGCACTCATCTCCAGGATCTTGTACAACCTTGGGTATTACAGGACGCTGGAAAACCCTAGACCATTACAACCACAGGTAAAGAAATTCTGACAAAACTTGAAATAGTTTTCCATGCGGCAACGGAGTGCATATGTCGAAAGTATGTTTGGGGCTCGATATGAAAGATCTCCGTTACCATGTGACTAACCAAACTTATAAATATAGGCATTATACAATCGCCCGTAGCTATGAACACTCCCGTAAATGCGAAAACCAACCAAAATCATAAGGAACACGTTTTGTTTGTTGTTCTGTCTGTTTGTCAGACAATGTCTTCAACCACGGGGACTTGTGAAGTAGCCATCTTGGATTTTTTTATGAAAAAGTGTTTCTCTCACTTTTTTCATATGTGTACATATTCTCAACATACCAAGCAAATACTCTCGTTTTTTTTTGTTAATTATCTAAAGAAAGTCGAAAGTCGGCAATTCAACCATAGGCTAATTCAACCCAACATTTGAAAATGTTCCACCACTTACATTTTGATGAATTTTCCTCTCATCAATAGCATATTACGTACTATTTAATAGGATAAAAATTGGTTTGCATCCAACGCCCATAAAAGGGTGTATTCTCTAAAAAAACACAGTTTTTGTGTCTAAAATGTTATCATCGAAAATGGCATTTTTGAGATAGTTTCTTCCATAAAACAGCCAAATGGCGCGATGGAAACATGATTTTTTGTCACAATCATGCCATGAATGCATTCTTTACAGTTACTATCATTTGATTAGATTTTCATTAATATTTTACATAACATGCACATTTTATCAACACTTAGACAGCTTCTGAAAGGTACAACTTTGAGGAGCCATAAAAAACAAACCAAGTGACCTAAATCTTTATACTTTATAGATTTGTGACCACAACGGTATGGGCAATGCACCACCAACAGGAAATTTGAATCGGAGAAGGGGCCGTTTTGGAAACCGGCCCTTTGGTAGAAAGCATCCCTTAGTGAAGGACAGAAGAAATTATGTTGAAAAAAGTGATTATGTCCCCTTAGAGGCCCATAAGGGGTGTAAAAGGGGCCATATGTAAAAACCTTCTTTAAATGACTTCTTCTCAAGAAGCAGTGGATGGATTTTCTTCTCAAGAACCACTGAGTTGATCATGTCCAAACTTGATACAGATGTTCAACACAATGTCCTGCATAAGTGTTGTTACTTTTTAGTTCGATTCAGAATCCAAGATGGCCACCCTGGCCTCTGTTTGGCTAAGACATTATGGACTTCCTCTCAAGAACCACTGGGTGGATCATGTTCAAACTTGGTACAGATGTTTTACACATGGTCCTGCACAAGTGTTGTTACATTTTTGCAACATTTTAAAATCCCCAGATTATTGACATATATTCCTCAGGTGACTGTTAAGGCCCCTTGGGCCTCTTGTTCAGCTTAAAAAAATTACTGGATGACTGCTGGTTTCTCATGGATTTTTAAGTATATTTTATATATAGCTGTATAGGTTTACCTTGATTAAAAATCATGGCCGCCAAAGTCACTCAAATCTCATTTGGTGAGAGATGGGATTATGCAGATCTGTTTCGTTTCTTACGTCCTCTCTCATGTATGATAAAGAGTTTTCTATCTTTTTTTTCAGATTGCTTGCTAAGAAAACGGAGGAAGCAAAGAAGGACGAAACTGTTGACGTCAATGGTTTCAAAGCAGACTGTCAAAAAATGGTAGAATGGGCATTGAAAAATTTTGAAGACATCCAACTTTATATAGGTGAGTTTAGTTGTGGAATACTCCCTAATGAAAGCAGACTGAGATAAAGTGACAGGGAAGATAAATAATAAAACACTTAACTCAAAAAATAAATAAATGAAAGGATTAAATTTAGTGGCAGAACATATAAGTAAGATTGTAAAGTTTGAAGAGCTGACTCCAAATAAGAGATCAAGAAGTCATTGTACCAGGTAATAATGACAATGTTTATTCAGATCAAATGACATACTTACAAGGGGGTCTTATATTATCTACTACAAAAATTCAAACATTCCTGGAAAATGGACCTTTTCTGGAGGTCACAGAGGTCAAATGTGTTAAAACCTTTAAACGTCTTCTTTCAAAATACCGGAAGGGCAAGAATCATTATATATGGCTTGTAGGTTCCTTTGATGAAGCCCAACAAAGTTTGCGAATAGGAATGACCTTGTCCCATATTCCAGGTCACAGAGGTCAAATACGGAAAAAAAACCTTTTAACGACTTCTTCCAAAATACTGAAAGGCTTAGGATCATTATATTTGGCTGGAAGGTTCCTTTGATGAAGCCCAACAAAGTTTGTGAAAAGAAAAGACCTTGACCCATATTTAAGGTCACAGAGGTCAAATGTGTTAAAACCATTTAAACAACTTCTCCCCAAATACCGGAAAGCCTAGAATCATTATATTAGGCTACTATGTTCCTCTTATGGTGTCCGACAAAGTTTACTAAAAGAAATGACCTTGACCAATCTTCAAGGTCAAATGGGTCAAATGTGTTAAAGTGTTTAAACAATTTCTTCTGAAATATCAGAAAGTCTAGAATCACTATATTTGTCCAGTATGTTCCTTTTATGAAGTCCATGAAAGTTTGCAAAAAGAAATGACCTTGACCCATAATCAAGGTCTCAAGGAGCAAATGTGTTAAATGTGGAACATATGCACAGATATAATACTGTTGGTCTTAAAAGATCCATTTGAGCAATACAGGCCATCTGGGCCTCTTGTTTATTACTTCATGATCAACATTCACTCATTAATTGATGGATATTATACAGTGTTAATTGTTATTTCGAATTATAATGCTTTATTAAAGTTGAGTTAATTGTATTCATAATTTAATCATCTGAATTGTAATGCATATTCCACGTAACATCCAACCCTTCTTTTAAAGGACAATTTTAAGGACTGAATCTACTGTGTTTAGAGAATTTCTGAAACTGATCAGGTTAAAATCCTGAAACAGATTTTAATTTCAAATTTCAACAACTGTTTCAAGTCCTGTGAAATTAATTTAACTAAGTTTGACTGTGATGTCTTTCTATTTTATAATTAGGTGAAGATTACGATGAGGACTGCATGCCAGTATTTCTTATCAACAGAGGAGGAGAGGACATACATATGTATTATTTCCATCATGCTTTGATAGAAGAAAAATATTAAAGGTATGCCTGTCCTTTACTTTAAAAATGTGGATTTATGTTGTATTGATAGTATTATTTCCAATAAATGAACTTTTAACTGGTAGGAAATTCAACCTGTTAAAATTCTTTATGATGTAGACCACTTGCCACCTACTGCATCCATCCATACAATATATTAAGTGAGATTGTATATCCCAGAAAAAAATCATATATTGACATAAAGTTTGGTAATGGAAATTAGTCAGGTGTTGATTTTTTACTTACCAGACCCAAAGGGCTAAATGAGCTGATGGCATAACAATGTCTATTATCTGTTTGCCAAGTTAAAAAAGGTCCCGTTTAATTCATTAAATATTTGTATGAGGATGATAGGATTGAGTCTGAGAGTAATTTTGGGATGTGGGATTCGTTAAACAGGGAAATCTAGATATATTTTTTAACCATTTAGGTCATTGTGACCTAGAGTGATTGTTGTTTGACCATTATGGTTTGTTAACTTTACTTATGAACATGATACCTTGAGTAAATACTAGTGATAAAATTTGGTATGCAGCCTTATATCAATAAGATCCAGCATGAGTTTTACAATATCTATTGGATTGTAATTCACGTGACATCTCTGAAACATTTCTGAAATGGAAACATTTTTTCCCTTAAATCTCAAAATTAATTATTTACTTGCATTGTGAGCTTTAAGCCCAACTTCATACACTTTAGATATTGAGACTGATCAGAAATCATAAATGACTTATCCAGTGCTATTTCTCGTGAAGTGCAAATTAGATCGGTAGGTTGATTCCTGGTTATGTCCATTTGAGTTTGGAACTGACCAGAAAAAAATGGCTAACAGGCGACCATCATAGATTTTGACAATGAAAATCTGTTGTCATTTCCTGAGAGATTCTGTGTGCATCATTCTCAAATTATTTTATAATATGTAAGTTCTCCTGTGTCTGCACTTTTCTCTCCATTTTTCAGTGATCAGAACAACAAAATGGCTGATAGGAAGCCATCTTGGATTGGAATTTTAGGTCATCTGTACCGAATCAATTGTCATGTTGTGCTTCTTCTGTCATTGCCTGCCATGCACCATCCACTGTGCATAAACCTTTTGACATTTTAAACTTCTAAAGTTCCACTGGTGGGATTGAGCTTAAACTTGCATGGAAGGATCCTGAGAGGGTCCTGACCAAGTGTTGTTATTTTTCGGGCATGTCTGAAATACGAGATGCTCACCATGACTGCCATCTTGAAAAACATGTTTTAAACTTCTTTTTAGGTTCCACTGGTGCCATTGATTTAAAAATTGGTGGGAATGTTGAGGACAGGTAGCAAACAAAGTGGTTTTTTTTTTACCTTGTCCAAATTTTGACGTGGCAGCCAAGGATGACATTTTGTAACATGATTGCGCAGTCATGGTTTTCCTTGGCAAAAAAACTTGTATGAAGATTTTTCTCAATAACCGAAAGTCTAAGGTGCTGATATTGGGCCTGCAGCTTTTTGGGATGAAGAGCTATCAATTTTGTTAAAATGAATTACCTTGACTTACTTTCAATGCCACAGGTGTCAAATATGTTGTGATCTTTTAAAAAATTTCTTTTCAATAACCTGAAAGCAAAACTGTGCTTATATTGGGCCTGTATGATGCTGGGATGAAGGACAACCAAGTTTGTTCATTCAATTGATCCTTACCTACTTCTAAGGTCACAGTCGTCAAATATGTCAAAATATTTCGACAACTTCTTCTTGATGACCAAAAGGCCAAGGATGCTGAAATTTGGCCTGTAGCCAGCAGGGTTGAAGGGCTACCAAGTTTGTTCATATTATGACATTGACATACTGATGACAGGCTGTTGATATTGATTTTTTAACTTAATTGGATGAAAGGCATAAAGTTTCATTCAAATGATTGACTTTGGCATGCTTCAAAGGTCTCTAGGGTCAAGTAAGTTAGGTCTTAAATCTTAAATTTCTTCCAACAATAGGTTCGAAGTCGTGGTGTTTGTTCAGTAGCTGATCAATTTAGATCTATTTGGCCTCTTTCATATATAGGTCCGATGGCCGTTTAGTCCCAATGGCCTCATGTTATAGATAGTTATCCTTTTATATAGGAGTTAACATCTAGCACATTGTGAGATAATTGAAGTTTTTGCCACAAAAATGAGACATGAAAATGATATAAGTAATGCATGTCTTTAGTATCGTACATAGAGCCAAGCTATGCTATTCCACAATAGTTGTTGATTTAAAATCATAATTGTAAACCAAATTGACCAAGAATAGTCATCACACTGAGGTCCATTTGGAGCAGTTTTCAACAGAATTTGGTTTGTTGTAAATCAAACAATGCATTGTTAATCAGTTTGTGTTTTTACAGGAAAAGTGCCCTCCATTGATGTCCTTTTGGAATTTGCTGCTGTTAAGAATTTGTGGATGATTGGATTAAACATCATTCTGAATTGACCTTCACCATAGTTTTGAATACCTTGATCTTCATGGACATAGTTGATCAGAAGATATTGACAGACCATATTGTGCATATGTCGGAGACATTGATACTGTTAGTTAAAAGAGCCAATGGGAGTTGGTAAACTATGATAAACATGTGCTTATCTGCAAGCCATACCATCACCTTGTTGTAGTTATATGCTCAACAAAGCCATTCTAAAATTTTGATGTGGACAACGCATTCAAGGTTGTACATTTAAAAAAACCTCATTTACACATTCTTCCTGCTACTTTGTTGCCAGATGACACTTTATTTATTATTAGCTTTTCCATCTGGGATACAAACAATAGTCCTAATTAAAAATATTTTCTGTTTCAGTTGACAACCTACAAATCTTCGACAAATTGCATGCTACATTAAAACACATTAAAAAGACGGAAGTTGTTATGTTTTGAGCCTAATTGACACAAGCTTTATAGCCAGTCAGATTTTGTTATAGCAAGTGATTATTCACCCATCCATCAACTTTGATTTTCTTGAAAACTATCTGTAACCTGGCAATTTATACTTGGCTATGAGATATATTATTTAAAGAACAATATATGTTACTGGTATAAATTATCTTGACCTATTGTCAAGGTCACAGGAGTTCAAAAAGTTCCAGGGTAATGACATTTGGTGAAAAAGAATTCTGGGATGGAGTGCATAAATGACCATGATGTATTTTCTTGGTCACTGGTGTCGATTGGGTTTAAATTGTAAGTCTTTTCAAGTTCCAGAAGATACTATACTCCTACTACATCAGTAGGTACCTTAAAGTGGGTCTTCATGACCTGACTGACCTCAAATTACTTTTAAGTGTCGGATGTTGATAATTTTCCAAAGTCTCAGAAGGCACAGAATCAAAATTTAGGCTGTAAATATGTAGGACAGACTTGGATAGTTTATTCTTATTGAAAACCTAGACCTATTTCCAAGGTCATGAGAGCCAAATATGTCAAACACCTTTAAAAACCTTCAAAATTCCAGAGGACCCCTGGATACTGATATTTTGCCTAGAAAGTGATTAGGATGAAGCCTATAAATTTCCTCTGAAAAGTGACCTGGAGCTTGTTTTCATTTAGGAAGACTGTATTTGAGCATTATCTATATTTGCTGATCATCCCAGTGAGACCAGAATTCGGTCTTAAGTCTATCAATGTAATCCAGTATGTTTGAGCATTCCTCCTTTATGACTGCCTTCATTGGAAAATCTAGTGGCACGAATATTGCTTGGGAAAGAACTCCAAAAAGTGTACAGTCAACCTGTGAATAGAACATGTATGCATGTATAGAGTTAGTAGATAAGATGGTGGAGATGTTTTTAGGCCTACTGTGTACAGATTCACATTAATGTAAACAATATCTGGATTTTCTCCCTCTCATTCTAGGCTTCCATGGTTTTAACATTTTTTTGTACTTCCGTTGTGGATGTTAAGCTTTTGTAGGAGTGAATGATTCACTAAACTGAGATCTTGTGCACACAGGTGAATTTTATCTGAAAGATTTGCAGGGAAATTATAATTATCACCATATAAATGATATCACACAGATGATAATAATGAGACGATTCAACTGATGTCAACATGCAACACATAAAACACGATAGAAATGGAAATTTCACACACATGATATTAAAGAGCTTGGCACATCCAATCAAATAATATTGATGAAAAAATATGGGCCACATTAACGGAACATATCATTCTGAAAGGTGATATTAACCGAAGATATCATTCTGACAGGTGATATTGACAGAGTTTCATTCAAAATAAAATAATGCCATTTTTAATTGGGGCATGTTCTATAAGTGTAATTTGTCTGATATTGGTTTGGCATTCATACCTGTAATGTGCCTAAAGAATTGAATACAAATGCAGTGAAACATGTCATTTTACAATAACACATTGCATCATATCAAACATGCATCGTTGGTTTTTACAACACAAAATATTATTTTTCTCAGAGGTTGAGAGAAAAAGTAATTCAACACTGAAATTTCCTACATATCCTATTAGAGTTTAAGAATATTATATAATCAATAATTTCATAATCAAATCTTTAAAGACGTTTCTTGAAATTCTGTTCGTATATGTTGAATGTATGTTTAGGTTTTATTTTTTATTATTACCAGTGATGGAGTATCGCCAAGAAAGTATTTCTTTTCTCCAAGGAATGACGATATAGCCCTGATATCGTCGCTTCCTAGTTTATAAATTTCTTTGCTGCTGTGACGACCAATCCCATGTTTCCAGGCCCGATCTTTCACCTGTAGCCATAATAAGGTAGAATGCTGTAAATGTTTGCAAAATTTTGTGTCTACAGAAAGAAATGTAAAACTGATAAGTATTGTTTTACATCAAGTCAAATTAAAGGGATACATGAGTTCTACATTTGACAGGGATGAATGAAGATCAGATATTAAACTACTCGCTAATCGGTTACTGACATCAAATTATTTATTGATAGAAAAGCATCTGACATGGGCTACAGGTGACACAATATCCACAGTTTTGTTAGGGGTTTTGTTGACAACAGGTGTTCAATCAAAAAAATTTAGGACTGCTACTGTCCTGATTACAAGTTGAAGGAACCACTCTTTAAAAGAGAGAAACTGATGCAAATCTCATTACAGAAATATGCTGAGTTTGACAAACCAGACAATTAATATACCACTTACAAAATCGGTCATCAATGAAATATAGACCCCAAGGGCACAGATATTATAAAAAAAATTATGGGAACTACTGTTCGGTTAAAGACCTGCCCATTGGCTTATGAAGTCTCCCGAGACCATTTGTTACTGTCACTGTTCAGTTAAGGAGCATGTGTACAATATTTATTCAATCAAACCTGTGGCATTTAACATAGAAAAACACAAAGAAAACTCACGCTGCTTGACAAGCCAGCTCCGACCTTCTCTTGCATCTCTTCAGGTACTTGAAATGTAAGATATTTTCTGTACTCTGTCATGTGTTCAACGTACCGATACCAGAATATTGACCTGGAGAAGTAAAGAAATGGAATCTTAAATGTCAGGGAGTTACAAGATTGCTGTATTTCGATAATGATCAACATTCCTATGATGTAAGTTTTAGAACCATACAGCATACTCATTAATATCAATGAAATAGTGAAACTGAAATCTTTGAACGGCAATATTGAAACCGTCGGTCTGTGAACAGATCAAAATTACGCAAAGCCTGGTTTACCACTTGTGTCCAGCATCTTTACTTGGACATTTTCTTACGGCAACCAAGTCTGTAGTTTTGAACTATGCTTAAGCTTGTTTACTGGCACAAAAAAAGGAAAACATTGAAGGTGAAGAATAAACATACTAATGGTGATCCAGTTACCCATTTCTAGATGACTACAATGTCACTCTCTAAACATTGTATTCAGGTGTTGTAATTGACTTGATTACGAATGAATCTGATTGCTGTGTCTAGTGCATTAAAACTTAAATACCATACCATACAGTATTTTCCTCTGCCATTTTCAGAAATGACCTTCCTATTGCCTGTTGCTCGGGATTGATTCCTGGATATGGATTTTTCTTGAAATATTTTGATAAATATTCAATGATGAATCTGTTTAAGCTTGCAGGACAATCATAATGTCTACACAGCACACTTAATAATCAATGTGTGTACATTGAACACACAACAATCATAATGTCTGTACATTACACACACAACAATCATAATATCTACATTACACACATAACAATCATAATATCTGTACATTACACACACAACAATCATAATGTCTGTACATTACACACACAACAATGATAATATCTGTACATTACACACACAACAATCATAATGTCTGTACATTACACATAACAATCATAATATCTGTACATTACACACATAACAATCATAATATCTGTACATTACACACACAACAATCATAATGTCTGTACATTACACACACAACAATCATAATATCTGTACATTACACACACAACAATCATAATATCTGTACATTACACACACAACAATCATCATATCTGTACATTACACACACAACAATCATATTACACACATATCTGTACATTACACACATAACAATCATAATATCTGTATCATGTACACACAACAATCATAATATCTGTACATTACACACAACAATCATAATATCTGTACATTACACACACAACAATCATAATATCTGTACATTACACACATAACAATCATAATATCTGTACATTACACACATAACAATCATAATCTGTACATTACACACACAACAATCATAATGTCTGTACATTACACACACAACAATCATAATATCTGTACATTACACACACAACAATCATAATATCTGAACATTACACACACAACAATCATAATATCTGAACATTACACACACAACAATCATAATGTCTGTACATTACACACATAACAATCATATCTGTACATTACACATACAACAATCATAATATCTGTACATTACACACATAACAATCATAATATCTGTACATTACACACACAACAATCATAATATCTGTACATTACACACACAACAATCATAATGTCTGTACATTACACACACAACAATCATAATGTCTGTACATTACACACATAACAATCATATCTGTACATTACACACACAACAATCATAATATCTGTACATTACACACACAACAATCATAATGTCTGTACATTACACACAACAATGATAATATCTGTACATTACACACATAACAATCATAATGTCTGTACATTACACACACAACAATCATAATATCTGTACATTACACACATAACAATCATAATGTCTGTACATTACACACAACAATCATAATGTCTGTACATTACACACAACAATCATAATATCTGTACATTACACACACAACAATCATAATGTCTGTACATTACACACATAACAATCATAATATCACACATAACAACATACACATTACACACATCATAATATCTGTACATTACACACACAACAATCATAAATCTGTACATTACACACATAACAATCATAATATCTGTACATTACACACACAACAATCATAATATCTGTACATTACACACACAACAATCATAATATCTGAACATTACACACACAACAATCATAATGTCTGTACATTACACACAACAATCATAATATCTGTACATTAAACACACAACAATCATAATATCTGTACATTACACACACAACAATCATAATATCTGTACATTACACACATAACAATCATAATATCTGTACATTACACACATAACAATCATAATATCTGTACATTACACACACAACAATCATAATATCTGTACATTACACACATAACAATCATAATATCTGTACATTACACACATAACAATCATAATATCTGTACATTAAACACATAACAATCATAATATCTGTACATTACACACACAATATCTGTACATTTCATAATATCTGTACATTAAACACATAACAATCATAATATCTGTACATTACACACACAACAATCATAATATCTGTACATTACACACATAACAATAATAATATCTGTACATTACACACACAACAATCATAATATCTGTACATTACACACAACAATCATAATCTGCACATTAAACACATAACAATCATAATATCTGTACATTACACACATAACAATCATAATATCTGTACATTACACACACAACAACCATAATATCTGTACATTACACACATAACAATCATAATATCTGTACATTACACACAACAATTATAATATCTGTACATTACACACACAACAATCATAATGTCTGTACATTACACACATAACAATGATAATATCTGTACATTACACACACAACAATCATAATATCTGTACATTACACACATAACAATCATAATATCTGTACATTACACACACAACAATCATAATATCTGTACATTACACACACAACAATCATAATGTCTGTACATTACACATAACAATCATAATATCTGTACATTACACACATAACAATAATAATATCTGTACATTACACACACAACAATCATAATATCTGTACATTACACACAACAATCATAATATCTGTACATTAAACACACAACAATCATAATATCTGTACATTACACACACAACAACCATAATATCTGTACATTACACACATAACAATCATAATATCTGTACATTACACACACAACAATCATAATATCTGTACATTACACACATAACAATCATAATATCTGTACATTACACACACAACAATCATAATATCTGTACATTACACACACAACAATCATAATATCTGAACATTACACACACAACAATCATAATATCTGTACACACATAACAATACACACATAATATCTGTACATTACACACATCATAATATCTGTACACATAACAAATACATACACACACAACAATCATCACATTACACACACAACAATCATAATATCTGTACATTACACACATAACAATCATAATATCTGTACATTACACACATAACAATCATAATATCTGTACATTACACACACAACAATCATAATATCTGTACATTACACACATAACAATCATAATATCTGTACATTACACACACAACAATCATAATATCTGTACATTACACACACAACAATCATAATATCTGTACATTACACACAAAACAATCATAATATCTGTACATTACACACATGACAATCATAATATCTGTACATTACACACACAACAATCATAATATCTGTACATTACACACATAACAATCATAATATCTGTACATTACACACACAACAATCATAATATCTGTACATTACACACATAACAATCATAATATCTGTACATTACACACATAACAATCATAATATCTGTACATTACACACATAACAATCATAATATCTGTACATTACACACACAACAATCATAATGTCTGTACATTACACATAACAATCATAATATCTGTACATTACACACATAACAATCATAATATCTGTACATTACACACACAACAATCATAATGTCTGTACATTACACACATAACAATCATATCTGTACATTACACACATGACAATGATAATATCTGTACATTACACACACAACAATCATAATATCTGTACATTACACACACAACAATCATAATATCTGTACATTACACACACAACAATCATAATCTGTACATTACACACACAACAATCATAATATCTGTACATTACACACACAACAATCATAATGTCTGTACATTACACACATAACAATCATATCTGTACATTACACACACAACAATCATAATATCTGTACATTACACACATAACAATCATAATATCTGTACATTACACACACAACAATCATAATATCTGTACATTACACACATAACATAACAATCACACATAACAATCATAATATCTGTACATTACACACACAACAATCATAATATCTGTACATTACACACACAACAATCATAATATCTGTACATTACACACACACAATACATATCATAATCTGTACATTACACACACAACACACATTAACACATAACAATCATAATATCTGTACATTACACACACAACAATCATAATATCTGTACATTACACACATAACAATCATAATCTGTACATTACACACACAACAATCATAATATCATAATATCTGTACACACACACACAATCATAAACATTACACACATAACAATCATAATATCTGTACATTACACACACACACACAACAATACACACATATCTGTACATTACACACACACATAAATACATTACACACACAACAATCATAATATCTGTACATTACACACATAACAATCATAATATCTGTACATTACACACACAACAATCATAATATCTGTACATTACACACATAACAATCATAATCTGTACATTAAACACATAACAATCATAATATCTGTACATTACACACATAACAATCATAATATCTGTACATTACACACATAACAATCATAATATCTGTACATTACACATATAACAATCATAATATCTGTACATTACACACACAACAATCATAATCTGTACATTACACACACAACAATCATAATATCTGTACATTACACACATTAACAATCATAATATCTGTACATTTAACAATCATAATATGATGTACATTACACACATAACAATCATAATATCTGTACATTACACACATAACAATCATAATATCTGTACATTACACACATAACAATCATAATATCTGTACATTACACACACAACAATCATAATGTCTGTACATTACACACAACAATCATAATATCTGTACATTACACACATAACAATCATAATATCTGTACATTACACACACAACAATCATAATATCTGTACATTACACACACAACAATCATAATATCTGTACATTACACACACAACAATCATAATATCTGTACATTACACACACAACAATCATAATGTCTGTACATTACACACATAACAATCATAATATCTGTACATTACACACACAACAATCATAATATCTACATTACACAGTGACGGGTGGATGATTTAAGCGTGACGTGACTTAGGATGATGACGGGTGGATGATTTAAGTGTGATGGGTAAGGATGATTTAAGCGTGACTTAGGATGAGTGACGGGTGGATGATTTAAGTGTGACTTAGGATGAGTGACGGGTGGATGATTTAAGCGTGACTTAGGATGACTGATGGGTGGATGATTTAAGTGTGACTTAGGATGAGTGACGGGTGGATGATTTAAGCGTGACTTAGGATGACTGATGGGTGGATGATTTAAGCGTGACTTAGGATGAGTGACGGGTGGATGATTTAAGCGTGACTTAGGATGAGTGACGGGTGGATGTGACTTAAGGATGACTGATGATTTAAGCGTGACTTAGGATGACTGATGGGTGGATGATTTAAGCGTGACTTAGGATGACTGATGGGTGGTTGATTTAAGCGTGACTTAGGATGAGTGACGGATGGATGATTTAAGCGTGACTTAGGATGAGTGACGGGTGGATGATTTAAGCGTGACTTAGGATGACTGATGGGTGGATGATTTAAGCGTGACTTAGGATGACTGATGGGTGGATGATTTAAGCGTGACTTAGGATGACTGATGGGTGGATGATTTAAGCGTGACTTAGGATGAGTGACGGGTGGATGATTTAAGCGTGACTTAGGATGACTGATGGGTAGATGATTTAAGAGTGACTTAGGATGAGTGACGGATGGATGATTTAAGCGTGACTTAGGATGAGTGACGGGTGGATGATTTAAGCGTGACTTAGGATGAGTGACGGGTGGATGATTTAAGCGTGACTTAGGATGAGTGACGGGTGGATGATTTAAGCGTGACTTAGGATGAGTGACGGGTGGATGATTTAAGCGTGACTTAGGATGACTGACGGGTGGATGATTTAAGCGTGACTTAGGATGACTGATGGGTGGATGATTTAAGCGTGACTTAGGATGACTGACGGGTGGATGATTTAGGATAACTGGTGATAGGAGTGATTTTAAATGATTTATGATGGGGGTGAGCTAAAACGACCGTTGGTAAGGACGACTCGTGCTGACTGATGGAAAACTGTTGATGAGGGGTGATTTAGGATGACTGATGATTGGGATATCCTAGGACGACTAATGATGGGGATGACTTCAGACGACTCATAATGGGGTTGACCTAGAATAAATGACAATGGAAAATGACTTGACAGGATGAATGGTGAAGGTGACTTTGTATGACTGATGGTAGGGGTGCAACTGATAGCGTAGGTGACTGTGGACCACTGATGTGATGATGACTTCAGCCGGTGTCATATCATATTTGGATCCCCGATCTGAAAAGGATCCGGATCATTTTTCTGCCCCCCAGGTATCAGTGACCAAGTCCCAGACACAGTTACCTATCATATCTCATTTTATTCATAAAGCTATAAAGTTTAAAATAAAATTCACAAGGGGGATCAAAATGCTATAGGGGGATCCTTTTCTTATGGGGGAAAAGCGATCCCCGGGTCCTTTTCTGATGAGGGAAAAGTGATCCAGTTCCTTTTCTGATGGGGGATACAAATAAGATATGACACCGGCTGTTGATTTTTGTGACTTACAATGACTGATGATGGTAGTGAGTATGGACGACTGATAGAAGACTGATGAAGGGAGTGACTTATGATGACTAATGGCTGATGATAAATGAATTATTTATTCAACTTATAGCTCGAAAATAACTCTCACGAAAAATCATCAATCCTGAATTTTACTTCCGCATACAGTATTTAGTTGTTAAGGATCAAAATATTTGGCAGCAAAAATTGTACAGACGACACTCGTCTGACGTGCTATGACAAAGAAGTGTATCTTAGGATAGAATCATTGAGAAAAGAACATCAACACCATCTCAGATTGCATTTTCTTCCTATAAACATCATATAGACCTTTGTAACTCCCTTTCAAGCAGCACAATATGCCATTCTGAAAAGACTAAAATTAGATGAGAACATTTACCTGGTCAGAAGAGAACACATAACCAGGTCAAAAGAAAACACTTACCTGGTCAGTACAGAACACTTACCTGGTCAGAAGAGATCACTTACTAGGTCAGAAGAGAACACATAACCAGGTCAGAAGAGAACATTTACCTGGTCAGTATAGAACACTTACCTGGTCAGAAGAGAACACATAACCAGGTCAGAAGAGAACATTTACCTGGTCAGTATAGAACACTTACCTGGTCAGAAGAGAACACATAACCAGGTCAAAAGAAAACATTTACCTGGTCAGGAAAGAACATTTACCAGGTCAGAAGAGAACACTTACCAGGTCAGAAGAAAACATTTACCTGGTCAGTTTAGAACACTTACCTGGTCAGAAGAGAACACATAACCAGGTCAGGAAAGAACATTTACCAGGTCAGAAGAGAACACTTACCAGGTCAGAAGAGAACACTTACTAGGTCAGAAGAGATCACTTACCTGGTCAGAAGAGATCACTTACTAGGTCAGAAGAGAACACATACCAAGTCAGAAGAGAACACATACCAAGTCAGAAGAGAACACTTACCAAGTCAGAAGAGATCACTTACTAGGTCAGAAGAGAACACATACCAAGTCAGAAGAGATCACTTACTAGGTCAGAAGAGAACACATACTAGGTCAGAAGAGATCACTTACCTAGTCAGAAGAGATCACTTACTAGGTCAGAAGAGAACACATACCAAGTCAGAAGAGATCACTTACTAGGTCAGAAGAGAACACATACTAGGTCAGAAGAGAACACATACCAAGTCAGAAGAGAACACTTACCAAGTCAGAAGAGAACACTTACTAGGTCAGAAGAGAACACATACCAAGTCAGAAGAGAACACTTACCAAGTCAGAAGAGAACACTTACCAGGTCAGAAGAGATCACTTACCTGGTCAGAAGAGAACACTTACCAGGTCAGAAGAGAACACATACCAAGTCAGAAGAGAACACATACCAAGTCAGAAGAGAACACTTACCAAGTCAGAAGAGATCACTTACTAGGTCAGAAGAGAACACATACCAAGTCAGAAGAGATCACTTACTAGGTCAGAAGAGAACACATACTAGGTCAGAAGAGATCACTTACCTAGTCAGAAGAGATCACTTACTAGGTCAGAAGAGAACACATACCAAGTCAGAAGAGATCACTTACTAGGTCAGAAGAGAACACATACTAGGTCAGAAGAGAACACATACCAAGTCAGAAGAGAACACTTACCAAGTCAGAAGAGAACACTTACTAGGTCAGAAGAGAACACATACCAAGTCAGAAGAGAACACTTACCAAGTCAGAAGAGAACACTTACCAGGTCAGAAGAGATCACTTACCTGGTCAGAAGAGAACACTTACCAGGTCAGAAGAGAACACTTACCTGGTCAGAAGAGAACACATAACCAGGTCAGAAGAGAACATTTACCTGGTCAGTACAGAACACTTACCTGGTCAGAAGAGAACGCTTACTAGGTCTGAAGAGAACACTTACTAGGTCAGAAGAGATCACTTACTAGGTCAGAAAAGATCACTTACTAGGTCAGAAGAGAACACATAACCAAGTCAGAAGAGAACACTTACCTGGTCAGAAGAGATCACTTACTAGGTCAGAAAAGATCACTTACCTGGTCAGAAGAGAACACATACTAGGTCAGAAGAGAACACATACCAAGTCAGAAGATAACACTTACCAGGTCAGAAGAGAACACTTAACAGGTCAGAAGAAAACATTTACCTGGTCAGAATAGATCACTTACCTGGTCAGTATAGAACACTTACCTGGTCATTATAGAACACTTACCTGGTCAGAAGAGAACACATACTAGGTCAGAAGAGATCACTTACCTGGTCAGAAGAAATCACTTACTAGGTCAGAAGAAAACATTTACCTGGTCACAATAGAACACATACCTGATAAGGTACATTGTTCATCCTCAACCACATTTCTAACTTCATGGCGAATGGAGAAATGTTTGGTACACATTTTGCCATTGTTCTAGGAAACACGTGAAGGTACACGACGTCTCGTTTCCACTCTGGTTTCCAATTTTCTTTGACTTCTGCCATTTTAAACTGTAACAATAAAATTGATTGCGACAGTGGCATTGGTATTTCAGTGTTTAGTAATTTATAATTTTTGCCTTTTTTCAGTGTCTTAGATAGTGATGTTATGGACTACGCATGAAGATATGAAACTTGTGTAGACAAAATCCATATCAGAAAGTAAAAAGTAAAATAAGATATACGTGTTGTAGGCGTTATGCTGTTTGTCTAGGGAGTTATTCCCCTTGTTGTGTATTACGTCATCAGTTATGATAGTAAAGATGAGGGAACGAAGCCATGGTGTTTTGGGATGGTTTCCAGGGTAGATGCAATCTGGGGCATCTTTAGTTTATTCACGGCTACCGACACTACATATGTTTTTCGAAAAATAACCGATGATGCATTTGTGAAGTAACCAACACATATTTTCCGGTATTCGGCGTGTGCCCATATGTGAAACCTTGACAGACATCATCCGACGATCTTGTGAAAATATTGCACATTGTATGTTACTTTTTTCTCGATAAAAATGACTGTTTTTGGGTCAGTCCAAGCCTCATGAATTCATCTGCGATATGGATATATGCCAAAATGAATAGATGGAATATTATGCCTTCTAAAACTTTCGCAAGGAGAAAAAGCATATCGTTACTTCTTATGGATTCTGACACGGCTGACGAAAACTCGACTATGACTGCTTAAAAAAGTGTGATATGAAGAGTTCCGTCATGGACAGATAAATCATTCAATTTATTTTTTGATGACATTATCTCTTGGCTTGGAGGAAAACCGGAAATGGTTTGAACTTTTAATCCTGGCATTTTCTCGAGAAGCATCATAATTAATTACGGTGTTCTGGAGATCACAGCTATTGCAGCACTTTCATTTCATAATTATTAGTGAAGTCATGGTTTGTTCATTTTCCAGAAACGTGGTCAAATGTGGTAACGCTGTACCTGTGTTTCGGGAAAGGAAGGTGATGTAAGTAATTACAGGAGTGTTACTCTCGTAATATGTATGGGTAAGCTATCAACCATTAATAATAGGCTCATGGTATTTGATCAAAAGTATAATAACAATAAAGTTTCAAGAAAAAAAATCTTTATACTATTAACACAAATTAACCAGACTTAAAGATGTTTCATCGATTATACTCCGGCGTTTGATTTCGTCAGAATTTGTGGTTTAATCAGAGACGACATGAAATTGCTGAAGTTAGTTGGGTCGCTGTATAGTAATGTTAAATATTGTGTAAAGCAAACGCGAAACCCCGTTATTCTTTCCTTATGTGTTAATGATTGTAAAATACAATTTTTAATCGACAACCGAACTTCTACAGAAATTCAAACCCTAGTTCCGTTCCTTTTAATGTACATTGATGACATGGTAAGGTTTGCAGATACACCACAGGGCTTACAAGATATACTTAATTTCTTTGGAAACTTAAAAAAGGAATTTAACAAATGTTCTGGTATTTCGAAATGTTGGTACCTTGAGAAGTAATGAAACTTGGAGATTCAATGCTTATCAACTAGAAATGCAAACTGATTTAATTTATTGGGCATGTTACTTAGTTACAATGGAACTTTTAGAACAACGCAGCAAAAAATAACAGAAGAGAGAAGTAAAGCCTTATTTTCTGTTATGAATGTATGTCGTAAGAACTGTTTTGATATAGAAATCAAATTATCTGTGTTTGATATGTACGCCAATAACATTTTAAGTTACGAATCTGAGGTGTGGGGTTCCCATAAAGCGCCTGATGTTGAAAAATTCCATAAGATGTAAAGGAGGAGTAAGTACACTGTACATGATATAGTTGATTAAGAACTTGGTAGACTTCAATTGACATAGTCAAGTAAACAGAATATTTAGAGACTGGATTAAACTGAAAACTATATTTTGAAATCATGCTATGAAGATTGGTTGGAGAACAGTAAATGGATGTTGAACATTAAAAAACAAATTATATAGACTAGGTTAAGGGTATATTTGAGAAAATGAAAACAGTGCAGTGACGATATCTATGTTAATATATTTCGAGATAGGATAATTGATATTGTCGGGCAGGAGTGCAAAAATCAGATCCTCTTGGAAAGGGCAGATTTCTACACATTTGCACCATGAGTTTGATATGCAATATTACGCAAGAAAATAAATATTCAAGGAAAAAAAATAAAATTAGCCCGTAACTGAGAAAAATACCAAAAGATACAGGGGAGTTGGTATAGTCTGTAATTTAAATCAAGTTTAAGTTGAGTTCCATTTCAAAATGTCCTCGTTATTCTTAATTCTGAAATAAATTTATGTAAAGATATAATTTGAAAAATACGAGTTTGTTTGAAATGATAGAATTGTAAAGTGTCCAGAACACAATAGATTTCGAAAATTGGCTAAATGCATCAAGCAGCTTATGTTTTGGGAAACAAATTAATCTGAGTGGTTACACTCCCAGTCTTAGTATTTTGTGTTTGTAGTGTTTTGTTACATTATTTATCTTATACATGTACAAGTATATTGTAAATACTGTTTAACTGGTGATGTTGTTTTAAACTTGTCAATCGATGGATTCAAGGTTGATAAAGAACTTGGACTTTAAGATATCAAGTGGCGTTACAAATGGTAAGAATAAACTTAGGTGGTCAAACAGTATTTAATCCGCCCATTTCTTACACATCTATATAGATGTATATAATAATCACGGAAGTAACAATCATATATTTAGTTCAAGTTACCTCCCTTCTCACTCAACACTGTTGTTTACATGTTTATTGATAATGCTCAGTTTAGATATCAATAACAGCGTAATAAATGTATATACTGACCTCAAATCATCATTTTAGAGACAGAAAAAATTTCGTTCTACATGTGATGTTTGGTATTTAAGCTTATAGCATCAGTATTCGAAGTTCAACGCAAATAGCAACTGCCAAGATTCATAGAAACAAAACTCAAAGGCTACAAATGGCATATGTTAGAAGACTAAATGGCATCTCGGACAGTCAAAGTCTTCCGATGTAAACAAACTTTTAATAGATCTGGTGAACTACTCTAACACTTAGGGGAAACCTTGACATTTTACACCTTTCTAAATCCACCTCAAAGATATTAATATGTGTCAAAAACCTTTAATTCATATGAAGCAAAATATTTTACCAAATCTCAATTTAGGTAGGGACTCTAACTAGACGGGGAAAAAATTCGAGTCTTTCACTGGCTGAATTAGTTGCGCGAGTCCTATAGATTCATGGTGACCTAAAATGATGGGGGGGGGGGGGGGGGGGGGGGGGGGGGGGGGGGGGGGGGGGGGTGGAGAAAGATGACACAAAGTTTGATCGGAATGATATTCAAATGGTTAATGCAACTTCGATATAGTTCTAAAAATGTACTGGGACTGCATGACACAAGCTAACTGTACGTTTAATTCACACCATCTGTTCAATAAGACCTTATCATGAACAATGCTTGTTTGACAATTCAGAGTATAAGAAGTTTGATTCTGTATGCATTTTAAATTGTCTGATATGAGAATGCCGCATCAGCATGCGTGATAGTGAGTAGACATGTTACGTAATGATGTTATGATTGATGCAGTCAGTGTGATGTCGTGTCAGTGACCGATCACACTGCCTGGAAGGTTTGTTTATATAGGTGATGAATAACTAGCTGTTCTATAAGAAACAAGTTATTGATGCTAATTGGCATGTTTACGCAGCATTTCTGGTGCTTAAACATCAATCATGTAATGTAAATTTTACGCTACTCCAGTGTAATTATGAAATATACATATCTATTATTCTAGTCACCTTAGTCAACCATAACTATATTACAACTGTATACATGTTTATATCTATATAACCTATATATAACGTATATAAGACATATAAATGACCTATATATAACCTATAAATGACATATATATGACATATAGATGACCTATATGTGACCTATGACCTATATATGACCAACGACCTATATATGACCTATGACCTGTATATGACCTACTATTCAATGATCTTTTGCTCTAAAACATATTGGTTTATCGTATAATCCATCTGTTGTCCAGTAAATTCGCCATACGGAACACGACGTTCATTAATTGAAAATGGCACAACGAAATGTCTGCCTCGGTTTGATATTGTCCTCCACATTTTTGCTTTAAAACATGACAATATGTATTTTTTAATTTAGGTGATTAAAGCATCTTAAATTCATTTTCGTTTCATATATTTTATGAAACTAGTCTCGAAGTTTAATTTTTGCCTTTGAGGGTTTTCGGGGCGACGACCCCTTAAAAGCTCGCAAGAATATAGGATGGATTTGATGTGTGTGCAGCAGAGTATTTGCCTAAATGCCGCTACGCGCCTGGAGTCTCGTTGTCGGTCTATAATATCCTTATCTATTATTGTTATTTCTCGCGAAGAGATCTACCAATCATTACGTTTTATGTATATATTTCCCTCTGTCCGTAGCCAATCGATAAAATAAAACTCTCCATCTTGGATTTTGAGTGAAAAGTCTTCCTGTCGTTATTTTTTGGGAAGAAATGGAAGACTCCTTTTAGCAAGGTTTGTACGTATACACATTGGTTTTCCGTTGTCCCAAGTATCATATATTCAGTTAGAATCGAAAAAAGGTCTACGCAACAATATATTTATCTTGGATTTCGATGAATTTTCTGACCACGGTTCATTTAGATTTTCATTGATGTTTTCTTATCCATGTTTAGCTTTGACACAGACTGGAAAGGCAACTTGCGGCCACTATTTCAGCCGAAGGATGGGTGCAAATTCTGGTCTTTTGGGTGAGGCCGTCATGATATGACCTGGAATTAAGGTCAAGTCGGAGACCATTTCGTGTTAGGGGAGGGAGGGGGTCAAATTCATTCATAATTGGCTCCATTTCAACAAAACTACATAATATTTTATGCAAATGGCATCTGTAGTTCTTTAAAATTATAATAGAGAATATTCATTGAAAAACGTGACCTTTCTACAAAGTAGAGTTTATAAACTTGAAGTTTC